AAGGATGTTGTAATAAAAAGAAATGCAATCTCTCATTCTGGAGTGTCCACCCCGCAGGGAGCAGATTGAATGTAACTCCACATGAGCTACCATCCCGTCTTCTCAGAGGGAAAACAGTAAGATAGTAATAGACACCATTCTTTGGATCCACACTGTTTAGTTATTTATGTGTCAACAAATGATTATTAACACCTACTATGTACCAGGCCATATAGTCCATAAATGGAAGTCAAAGAGAAATGAAAGCCCTGGATCTGTAAGCGCCGTCTTGTGAGAGACGTGCGTAGAAAGCCACAGCAAAGAACGCTTCAGGGTCTTCATAAACAATAGAGAACCTGAGCGGTGGCTGGTTTCTCCAAAGGGCAAGGAGCCTTCTCCTGAAAGGAGAGGTACACAGCAAAGGGTTAACTCAGCAGGCTCAGGTTGTTCAAGTGCTGCAGATTTCAAAACAAAGCCTCTCTTTGGGACTGGCCCTTGACCAGCTCCTGGAAAGTGACTATAGGGTTCTTGGACTATCCAGTGTGATAAAAATGTGTTAATATGCCGAAGGCCTTAGGACACATTGTACTAGCTTGATGAAAGAGCTTATATTAATATTTGACTTACAGTAAATGCATGTCTTTTATTTTTATTTTTTGGCTCTATTACACTGAGTTATAGCCCCAATGCCCACTTCCTGCTTTTTTAAAATTTTGAGGCAAGGGCTCAAACTAACAGCCCTCCTGCCTCAGCCTGCTAGAGTGCTGGCATTACAAGCATGCACCACAATGCCTGGATGAGCGCATGTTTTGAGGCTCTAGGTCAGGAGGTATCATTAGATTTCTGGAGGGCTAGAGACGAGTTGCTAAGGTCCGTCATATGGGTTGCTAGATGCCTCTGTCACTGAGCTCCAGGGAAAAGCCTGAAGCCCAAGGATAGGGCAAGCTTCCCCGGTTGGCAATATTTTGCATGTGTGGCCGCATACTGTGTCTGGGAGAATTAAATGCATCCTCATGTGACGCCAGTGGGAGCTTGTGCCTAATTTCTCCTGAACTTTGTCCATGCCCTTCCCTTTGCTGACTTTATTTTGTATCTTTTCACTGTTAACACACTATAACCATGAATATTACAGCTTCCTTGAGGTTTACAGTCTTTCCGGCAAATAATCAGAACTGAGAGTGGCCTTGGAGACTCTTGACCTAGTAAGGTAGGGATCAAATTAATTCTCTTAATGCATACTCATTATGGTTTAGGTCTAAAAATGTCCTCCCAAAAGTCTCATGTGCTCAGAGGTGGGGCTCCTGGAAAGTGATTGGATCACTGGGATACTATACGCATTTATGAGTTCCTAGGTCAGTGCTGGCAAACCTTGGCACACATGCCATAGTGGGCACACAGAGTCCTCTCTGCCAGCATACAAACCAAGCTGCCAGCAGCCAAGCACTTGTTACTAAGGTTTAATTGCAGTATTGGCACTTTGTGATAAATAAGTGGGTTTTGGGTTGCAGTTGGGGCACTCGGTCTCTAAAAGATTTGCCAACACAGACCTAGATGAATGTGCTGGAGAAGGTGGGGTCTGGTTGGAGGTGGTCACTAGGGGTGTGACCTGAAAGGGCTTTTTTTCTTGAGACAGGACTGTACTGTATAGCTCAAGCTGGTCTTGAATTTACTATGTAGCCCAGATTAGCCTTGAATTTGCAGTGATTCTTTTGCTGCAACCTCGAGTGCTGGAATTACAGGTATGTGCTGCAGGGTCTACTCTTATCCCTAGCTCTTCCCTTCTCTCTCTGTTTCCTGGCTACCATGGTTTGGGCAACTGCCCTCTACCAGGCCCTTCCTACCCTGCCAATTTTGCCTTAGGGCTGGCTTACCATGGACTGAACCCTCTGAAACTGTGAACCAACCAACCATAAGCCAAAATAAACCTCATCTCCTTTAAGTTGGAGGTGTTGGCTATTTTGTCCCAGCAACTAGGAAGTAACTAATACCATAATCAGCCATGCAAGGGCCATTTATTGAATAGTCAATACTTTTCATCCTGAGTTATTTAAAATGTCTATCCCTATGCAAATACCACTCTATTAATTACTACAGCTTTATAATAGATCTTGAGATCTAAGAGGGCCTACTTTATGCTCTTATTATTGGGCCTTTGTTCTTCTATAAAATGTTAGGTCTATTCACCAATTTCTAAGAAAAACCATAAAGGGTTTTGTTTTGAATTTTATTGAATTTACAAAATAACTTTGGGGGAATGGGTCTTGGTAGTCATTGTTCCTATTCATGAACAAGATCACTCTTCATTTACTTAGATGCACTGTTTACCATTCAATCATATTTTGTAGTTCCCAAATCCTTCTTAGGTTGATAGATTTTCTCCCCAGAAATATCTTGGAGACTTTTGATCTTATGATGAATGACATTATTTTATTTTCCAATTGGATTTGGGTATTACTATTTTCAAGGTTTTTATACATTGATCTTATAGACCTAACTTTCTTTAATTTCTTTCTTTTTTGAGACAGGGTCTCACTATGTAGTTCTGGCTGGCCTTAAACTCATTGTGTAGCCCAGGCTGGCCTTGAATTGATAGCAATCCTCCTGCATCAGCCTCCCAAGTGCTGGGATTACAGGGCAGCCTAGACCCTAGCTTTCTTGAACTTTTTATTAAATATACATTTTTTGAAAAATGTAGGCAGGTGAGCCAAAATAAACCTTTTTTAAAAAGCAGGCAAACACAACAACTACAATATGAAAAGTTTTATTTTTACTTCTGCTTCCAGTTTTTATTCACCTTATTAAATTTACTAGAGGACAAACTGTTTTCCAGTTATTATTTTCAATGTAGGAGTGCATATCATCTCTAAAACTTCATTTACTTAGATGCACTATCATTGGATTATCATTGCATCATCCAATTATCACTGGATTGTTTTACTTTTGTGAATATGGTAGAAATACAGTATTTCTGTAGTTTTGTGCTTCATTTCCAGATTACTAACATGGTTGACAATATTTTCACATTTCTGGGCCATCTGGATTTCCTTATATTTGAAATATCATATACAGTCTTCTGTTCAAATTTCAATTGATTCTCTCTTCTTGGTTCATAAGAATAAATTTAATATTCCAGATAATAATTTTTGCTTGTTTTATGACCAGTTATAAGTGTTCCAAGTATGTTCTTCTTGGTGGTTCTTCATACTTTGACCCTTTAAGTAAGATTATGGATGCTTATTACTAATCCCTGTTAGTTTTGCTATACTTCCTAAAAATGCTCCAAGTAAAAATTATAATAAAAAGAAAATGGGTTGGATATATTAAACAAAAAGATAGTAGAAAAAGTAGAGAGAATTTTGGGCGAGAAAGTAAGAATAAAAGCATCATGAAATGAAAGTAAAGAGTGGAAAAGTAAGGAAAGCATCTCTGTTGGCTAACAGATAAATTAAAATTGTAAAATTTTATTTTAAATTGTTATTAAATATCATTACATGATAGCATCCAGTTAAATGTATCACCTAAATGAAAATAATTTAGTATTTAATATTGAATACAATAAAAATAAACTTCAAACAATATAGAAAACAATTAAATATGGTGCTACCTATTTTTAACATATTAAATTTCATTGAATTTAATACATTATTTACATAAGTAAAACACACAATCAAGTACTACAGATATACAATTTTGGTTTATAAGAACATCAGGCATGAGACTGTCTTGCTAACAAGCATTAGACTAATTTTAAACAATCTAGTAATTAAAAGTCAAGTTTATTAGCTGGATGTGATGGGGCATGCTCATAATCCCAACTATACAGGAGGCTGAGGTCAGAAGATTTAAAGTTTGAGGCCAGCCTAGGTAACTTAGCAAGGCCCTGTCTCAAGTAAATAAGGGCTCAGGATGTACACGGCTCAGTGGTAGAGTGCTTGCCTAGCATGCATGAGGCCCTGGGTTCAATCCACAGGACAAGAATAAAAATAGTCAAGTTACCAGTTTGGCCAAAGGCTTTTACAAGATCCTAATCAAGCTATCCCTCAAATATGATTTCCTTGTAATGGCAAATAACAAGCTAAAATATGAAAAGTAGGAAAAGAAAAAAAGATTCAGTTCCATAAAGCAGTAAAAAAATGACTCCAATTAAATCATATTTTTGATAAGAATATATCAATAGCACAGTATTGAATAACCACTTAACATAAGCAGCATTCAGTTGTCTTCTTTTACAAATATTAATAAAAATTCGATAGAAATGCAACCAAGAGAAAGGTTTTAATATACAATAATCATTTGAACTGCACATTTTTCTCTGGAGGATTAGAGTGGAAATAAAGTGACTACACAGTTTTTCTTATTTCACAGGTTTGTGAAAAGCACAAACACAATTGTCAAGAAAGGAAACAATGCTATTAAAAGTTCTTTATGTAGAAAAAAACTACTTTCAATCTTAGACTAAGTATTTTTAAAAGTGAACCAAGTGCTTATTCATAAGATAAAGGAATTAAATAAGAAAAACAAAATGAACTTAAACAATATTCTAAGCAGAAATCCTTTTCCCACAGATAACACTGTGAACATTATTTTCCTACAGGTAACAAACCCCTCCTGCTAGAGCTGTTACACTAATATTCTTCACAGAACTTATAATGAGTTTTAACTACGAATGATCACTAAATATCTGAAGACACAGGACCAAATGTAACCAAGTGGTTAAACACTGAATAAATATGCATAGTGAAATATCATAGTGAATATATTCACTATGATAAGGAAATCACATTCTGATCCCACTTATTTTCTTTCTTAAAATGATCTCTTGCAGGATTGATTTGCAATTGATGTACAATGGAGATAAAATTTTCATGGTTATAAATAGATGGTATAAAAAGGGTAAATTAAAATATATTTATTGGGGAAAGATTATCATAGTTGCCTTCCTTAAATAAATCTATAAACTTAAAATGAAAAAGAATAAATTCATTGATTATAAAAATAACAAGTTTCAATGAAAAATGATTTAAAAAGCGTTCAAAATTCATTTGAAAAATATATCAAGGGTATGTCTGGGACTGTTTGGTTTTATTTTCTTTGATTTCGAACACTTCGTCATCAGTCCTGGCCTGGAATGAAGAAGAACACACAGTTAAAATGCAGGAGGAGATTTAAAAAATAACTTTGCAAGTATTTGGTATTTAAAATGTTACTTGATGATTTATAAAAGCAAAATTTAACATCTGCTAAAAATGAGATCCCAAAACATGCTAGTTTCCTCGTTAGCACTATTAAAGCTAAATTAGCCCTACCTTCTTGTTTTTGCTACGGTCTTCTGTACTTTGCTTGAGGTACCTTTGGAGGTAAGAAAAGTAAAAAAATTCTGTAATGAGCAACATGAAATAACTGAAAAGCTTTATACAAATTTTAAAAGTTAAAACTTATTAAAAATATAAAAAAATTTCCCTGGTACTATGCAGTTCATATTTATACATTCCAGATGCTGACTTTATAGCATAATTTCTTTGCAATTTCTAACCTATTAATAGTATGCATATTAGATTTAATAAATCTCATTAATAAAATATATTCTTAGAAAATTTAATAAAATATATTCGTAGAAAATTGTTCTTTTTAATGACTGCAAACTCACCAGTACTTTTGGAACTTTCTCTGGGTTGGCTGACTAGATGAACTCTATCATTTCTCAGTTCTTGGATAATGCCTTTATTTAAGCAAACATCCATGTGCTCGTTCAACATGGTAAGATCCGAAGTCTTCTGTTCTAGATTACAGACAGGACAAACTAGACCTCGGCCTATGGTCACTTTAAATGAAAATGGTTGCAGGGAGTCGTGCCCAGTTAACAACCCAACATCTGCATTTTCCAGTGAAACAGTACCAGGCGGCTTGCTGGGAAGACTAGAACACTCCTCTTTGCTGTGTTTGCTCCCTAAGGAGTCTACACTTCCTGGCTTTGACGTGCTCGCTCTAGTTTCCACCAGACCCACACCATCTTCTGAAGTGACTGCTACCTTTTCCTGATGGGTATCATAATCTTGCTTCTCCCGAGGTGAAAAACAGTGATGTGCGTTCTCTTTCTGGTTACCATCAGCAGAGGAAGCATATGAACAAGCGAACACCTTTGAGTTCTCGCTGACTGAAGGGCCATCAAGACATGCGTCTACATGTTTATTAAAGGCCTCCAGGCTGATGCGTCCTTGCTCTCGGAAGCAAACGGGACAAGTAAACCTCTGACAGCTATCTGAACTTTCTGAGGCTTCCAAATTCTCACTCGTCTTCTTACTAACTTGGAATGGCTGTGATGTCCTTAAATTTTGTTTATCCACAGTTTCACAGTGAGATGTGTCTTGGTGTCTCCATTTCATTTCTGATCGTTTTTTATCAAAAAAACTCTTCTCACAAGACATTCTTAGAGGTTTTACAAACTGATCTTTATCAGTTTTCTCTACTACATGCCCAGTGGCTGGCGATGCCTGGGTCCCGGCCTGCAAGAAGCCAATGATGCTTCTCTGCTGGCATTTTTTGTCTTCTTCACTGGGAAAACTCGACACCCGAACACCTAAATAAAACCAACTACAGTTAATAACTTGTAAATGTAACACGGCCAATTCACGCCCCAGGAATGAAAACATTTCACGTAATACTATTATGATGTAGGTACAAAAAGCTGGTAGGAGAGAATAAGCCAACACTAAAGACAGATACAGATTTTCTTTTCCTTGTGCTGGGGATTGAAGCAGGGCATTGTGCATGCTAGGTATGTACTCTACAATCATCTATACCCCCAGCCCCATCTTTTCTTAATTAGAGAGTGCTTTTAGCCAGGCATGGTAGTACAAGCCTGGACTCTAAGAGGCTCTAGGAGCACTCTAGGAGGCTGAGGCAGGAGGTTCCCAAGTCCAAACACAGCCTTGGTAATTTAGCAACTTATCAAAACCCTGTCTCAGACTAAAAAACAAAAAAGGCTGGAGACTAGCTCAGTGTGAAGCCCCTGCATTCAGTCCCCTGTACAGGGGAGCGGCAGGACGAGGACTTCTTCAAAGCCTATTTTATGAGTAGAAATTTCCTTCCCTTTATAAAACTAGGTATCATTAAATATCAACATTCTACTGGAGTTGGCATAGTTACATAGCATTTTGAATTTGTATATGGCATACAATGCCATTAAATACAAAATATAACTAACTGGAATCAGGTACAGACTCCTTAGTATTTTTTTTAAACAGATTTTTGTTTTTTAAAGAGCAGTCTTAGGTTCACAGTAAAACTGAGCAGATGGTACAGAGAATTTCCAAATACGCTCTGCCTCCATGCATGCACAGCCTCCCCTGCTACCAACACCTGCCCCGGAACGGCACATGTGCCACACAGATGACCCTCCACCAACACAACACTAGCATCCGAAGTCCACAGCTTACAGTAGAGCTCACTTTTGTACATTCCAGGGTTTTATTTTTTATTTTTTTGGGTTTTTTCCAGTACCAGGAATCGAACTCACGACCTTGTGCTTGCCAGGCAGGCACTGTGCCGCTGAGCTAAACCCCCAGCCCCCCATTCCAGGGTTTTAGATGAGTTTATAATGACATGTACTCACCATCACACAAAGTAGTAGTTTCACTGCCTAAAATTCTGCTGTGCTTGCTCACTCTTCCTTCCCTCCAACCCAAACAGCCCATCTTATATTTTGGCTTTGTGAGAAAGGATCTCCCCAGGTAATTCAGGCTGGCCTTGAACTCACTGTGTAGCCCATGCTAGCCTCGAGCCTGTGGCAATCTTCTTGCCTCAGCTTCCCAAGTGCTGGGATTATAGGTATGCACCACCATACTTGGCCCACAATCTTTTTATTGTCTCCAGTGTTTTGCCTTTTTCAGAGTGCCTTACCTTGGTTCAGGAACTCAGTTCTCTTCACAGATGGGATGAGAACCAAATCAAATTTCCCCATAAGGTCAATGCTGAACCTAACTACTGAATTTGGTTCGGTTTTTACCCACCTCGGTTTGCGACCAGAATTGTGGTACTGAGTTTGTGAACCAAGGTATCACTGTAGTTGGACCCATGCAGATGCAGCCTTGCCCGCTTGGCTTCTTTCCCTTAACAGTATACATTTAAGTTTCCTCCACGGCTTGATGGCTCATTTATTTATGTACTGAATATTATTCTGTTGTCTGGAGGTACCACAGTTTACCCAGTCACTGAAGGGAACCTTGGTTGTTTCCAAGCTTCTACCAACACTTGCCTTTTGTCTCTCTTAATCATCACTTTATTCTATTGATTTTATTGTGTGCTATCTTGCATGTATGAAAGTATGAGTAACGGCCAAATCTTTAGCAGTAAAGCAGGCAGCTGGAGAGCTTACCTACAGTACACATTCTCTCACACAGTTCACTTTGGAAACATGGCTTATTTGTTTATTTTTACCATGCAGTGGCTAGAGATGTAGTTTCCTAGTATCGGAATCTTTTATCTGTGATTCTGAAGTACAAAGTTCTGAAAATTGTAAGCAACAAATGATAAATGATGAATGAATTAATGTGACACTATTTAGAGTCTTTACTGTCTAAATTTTGTTTTGCTACAGAAATAAAAATATTAATGTTTTTGATCAAGAGGTGCTGATCCAGATTCCCAGATTATGTGCTTTCTCAAATGTGAAAAGTTTTGAATTTTGGAACATATCTTGCCCCAAGGATTTCAGAACACAACAAGAGGAAAAGAAAACCTTAATCAGTTTATACCAGAAATAAATTAATAATCTGTTTCACATGTATCATTTTATGAATTAAGACAAATGGCAGGAGCACAGTAAGAAGTAAGGAAGGAAGTTTCAGAAGTAAATTGACCTCAGAATATTTCCAAAGCTAAGTCTTGGAGGGGCTGGGGATTTAATTCAGTGGCAAAGCACCTGCTTGGCAAGCGCAAGGTCGTGAGTTTGATTCCTGGTGCTGGAAGAAAAACAAACAAACAAACAAAGCTAAGTCTTGGGAAAAATCTAACAGATTTAAGGAAAAACAGCAAAGTCATACCCATAAGTCTTAATCTTAAGGGATGTGGAAAATCAACATCAATCTCTGTTCTTAGCAACTCCTTTGCAATGGCAAATATTTCTTCTGCAGTAGAAACAACAGATGAGACTGTAGATGCACGAGTTTTTACTTCAAAATTCACATTCTTCAGCTTAATGGTAACAGTTCGACCCTATAACATACAAGACACATCATTACATAAACCTTTCTAACTTCTAGAAAAGTTATCTATAGGTAGAAAAATTCAGGAAAGTCTTTATGGGCATATAAGAATATGGAAATATAATCAATTATTTATAAAACATGGTAATGAAAATTGCAATAAAAATAATTAACATCTAGAAGTAATGCAAAAACCCTGTTGTAGCTAATAATTATGGTTCCCCTCCCCAGCCAAATATAAAAGGCAATGTTAATGAATCATTTTCTTTTTATTGAACCTCTTTTAGAGGTTCATTCAGTTCCTAAAAAGGCAGGAAGAGAAAAATCTTTCTAAAGGTGCTTCATTGAAAAGGGCTTACGGGTAGCTCACTGTGTCGTGTGCTGACTACATCCAGATACTAAACAAATTGCTAAATAATTCATCTATAAGAGTTCACTATCTAGTTAGGGCAGAGTCTCTGCTGGGAATGAGGGAAAAGCTTCAGAGACAGATGGCAATGATAGTTGCTGCATTTAACACCACCAAAACATTCGCTTACGGGTGGGTAAATTCTATACTACATACATTTTAGTATCTCCTGGAGGTCATACCTAATTCCTACGCTCCATCACTTGGGTTAGACTTACTAACTCATTTCCAAAGGAAAAAAATCCATAAGTTCACAGTGGAGAAGTTTAGCAAATACTGCCTTAACCTAGGAAGATGAGCAACGTCATTCTCCATGTGACTGAACACAATTTCTGACAGCATATGATGAGAAAGACTTTCCAACTTTGTCGTATTCCTCCTAAAATCCTATAGTCCTGTTCTAATTGTGAGAAAAGCACAAACCTAGACTGAGGAACATTCTATAGGGCGTCTTGCCAGTACTCCTCAAGACCGTCAAAGTCATGAAAAAGAAGTCTAGGAAACTGTCACAAACCAGAGGCAATTAATGAGACATGACAACTAAATGCAATATAATTTCCTGGATTGCACCCTGGTCCAGAGGGCAGTAATTAATAGAAAAACAAGTAAATCCAAATAGAGCCTAAAGATTAGTTAATAACAATGCATAGAAGTCATTTTCTTTTGACAATGCACTGAATGCTAATGATTGAGGAAACTGGGTGAGGGGTATACTGGAAATCTCTATATCCTTTTTGTAACTTTTCTGTAAATCTGTGATTCTAAAATTAAAAGCTTATTTTAAAAATTTTTAAAGAACTCTTTATGCTTGAGGTATGATAGAGGACTGTAGGAAAAATGTTTACCAGGTCCTCCATTCTTTCTAATAAAATTTTAATGCTTTTGCATTATACTTTGAAATAACACCACCTCTGATTTGAGAGTGGGAAGTGTGTACTAAACATGGACAGTTGGGAGGGAAAATTATCTAACAGAAAGCACAAAGCACTCCAGGCTTCTGTTCTCAATGTGTTCAGCAACCTGGATTAGAGCCCTGAAACAAATACCTATTCTAGAAGCTCATTGCCTACCTGAGAAAAACATAGGATGATCAGGGGAGAAATCTGTAAACTATGAGTACAGCTCTAGGGAAATTCTCTGCCTTTTTCCTCTGATGCCAGTATAACTGATTTTGTACCTATTCATATGTACTTAGTTTTGAAACCTAAGGATACCTTTAGTCCTTCCTTCTGGAGATCTTTAGCAAGTTCACTGCAAAGTTCCTGGCACAAACTGTACTGTTCTTCTGCTTTGTTTATCTCATTAAATGTCCTAGAGAGACAAGAATGCTTTTACTGCACAAAGTAAACTATAACTCAGAACACTCAGAACACTCCAGGAACAATATGGTACATTTAAATAGTCAGGCATTCAGATATATTTTCTGCAGTAGAAAAGAAATTTTCAGATGAACTAGAGATAACTAATTTAAAAAGGTATGGTTTATGTAAGTAATAGAAAACAATTTGGATAGGTTAACTGATCAGCAAAGGAGAAATTTTACGCTTTTGCTCTCTCTATATAATATTTTTTAAAACAATGGTTAAAGTCACCAACACATAATGGTAATACTCTTAAAACGTGTAACACTTAAGGTATATTTATATATACAAATTCTGCTACAGAAGACTATCTTAAGAAACTAACAGATGAGAACATCATTCCAATTACTGCACATAAGTTTCCTAGACAGAAGTATCTTCAAGTAGATTTAAGGTGCTGGTTCATAGTACGTAGGCAGCGCTGTCTAGCAGACAGCTGGAAATAGAGAGCTGGTAAGGATGCAGAAATGCTGAATTCATCTCGGAAAGAATGCAGACAGATGTTGAGAGAGGATATTAACACGAGGGAGGCAGACACTAAAGAGAGATCAGAGCGATGAATACGGGGAAGTCTTCCTTCTAACCGGATCTGCAGCTTTTCGGTTCGCCCTACTGGCAACCATATTGCCACTAAATTGATAATCCTTATTTCACAAAGATACACAGGTACAATTAACACAAGAATCCACACGGCCTATGGTTTCTAAACATTTACCCCCGACTGTTTCTGTGACAGGCTGTTCATGGTTCAGAGAAGTTTAGATGCCTGCTATTTGTGACAGCCCAACTTTACCCAGAAAGTTAGTCTTCTCAGAAGTCTTGACGGATGTCTTCTTTGTTTGCTTCTCCCTGTTGCTGCTTCGTTTGATAGATTTTAAAGTTGTACTGTAGTCTTGTTCAATCTCGAAATTCTTACTGACCAGGATACCCAGTCTGACTCCATTTCTCTCGATTTAGATCCAGCTGTGAGGTGCATGTTCTTTTGCAGCCAGTTTAAACCTTGAATATATTTCAACTTCTGGAGCTCTTTTGTGCATGTTCAATCATATGAACTAGATTTTTGCCATGTACTTCCCAGGCATTGCATCCACGCTGTGCCATTAGGTGCAGGTCCTCAATTCGAGGTGCTTGATGCTGGGCCACAGAACTGTTTACACGTCCTTTGCTATTCAGTAACGTCATTTTTCTGACCCGAGGAAGGGGCTGGAAGCTCATTATCCTTTTACACTGAGCAATGCAATTGGTTGTCAAGCAACCAGTCTTTCAAATTCATTTCTCATGACATCAGTTGCACAAGCAGGGCAATCCGGGGCTGTTAAGTAGTTCAAGTAGTTCTTAGTAGGTATCCGCGAATTTCCTCCCCTACCAGTGCAGCAGCTGCTTCCCATGCACCTGGCACTTGCTTCATAGCCTTGACCAAAACACCGCAGTGCAGCCACTCCTCCTCTGGGACCACCAAGCCGGTGCCACCATTCCGGGGGTCGTAGTCTTGCCTGTGTTTTCTGAGTCTGAACAGGATCAGTTCTATGTATGCCTCTGTTGCCAGCTTTTTTATTCTTATGAATTCCTCCTGAAATACTCCACACTGCTATGGTTTGGGTAGACTTCGAATGTCCCAAAGGGCTCATGTGTCGAAATTTAATTCCCAGTGTGAGGCATTAATTAAGAGGGTTGAAACCACCTGACATGGAGAATGATTAGAATTAGCAACGATCACCAGGGTGGGGCCCCCACGGTGGAATTCTGGTGGCTTTAGAAGGAGAGGGAGAGAGGCCAGAAGACACACGCTCTTGGCCCCTGTATCTTGCCAGGTGTTGGCCAGCACTGCCCTGGAGGACTAAAAGGCCATCAACAGATGTGAGCCCTCACCCTTTCACCTCCAGGATAAAGGACACTCTTCTAGTAAAGTTATCTAGCTTCAGCCATCAGGCTACAGGAACATAAACAAGCTAATATTTATGCATATACAGTATAAGCAAACAAGCAATCACTGTCCCCTCATTTTAAATAAACAGTATGATCTTAGATACATTATTTCTTTGCTTTTTTCAATTTATCTTGGTGAGGATTCCCAATGAGTAAGTTCTTCATTTTATACGGCTGCATAATATTCTAACTTAAAAATATAACATAATTAAAAAACTTCTCTATTCATGAATATATGTAATTTTTAATCTTTTGCTAGCCAAAAATGCAGTGAATAACCTTGTACACATGCAAAATGATACAGGATTGCGTCTGTGAAATGAATTCCAACAGAAAAAGAATGAAGGGATCAAAGTACTATACACATTCATCTGTGATTTTGATTCATCAGTGATTTCCCGTGTGATGGGCCAAATAATGGTCCCTAAAGATGCCTCTATCCTGATTGCAGGAACCTGTAAATCTAGGACTTACATGGAAAAAGGGACTTCACAGATGCGAATAAACTGTGCTGGCTGAGTATCTACAGGTGTCCCCACTGAATTCCCAAGGGTCTTCATTTGAAGGAAGCAAGAGGTCAGAGTTAGAGAAAGACAAGATGCTGGCTGAAGCTCCGGGCCAAAGAATACAAGCAACCCTTAGACACCCTTGGGAAGGAAATGAATTCTTGCCTAGAGCCTGTACAAGGAGCGCTGCCTGGCCAACAACCTGATTTTAGGACTTCTGACCTTCAGAATGATAAGAGAATAAATTCGTGTTGTTTTAAGTCCCTGAATGTGTGCAATTTGTTACAATAGCAATAAGAAAGTAATACATGCATCTTTCACCTTTTTCACTCCCATTGTTTTGCCAAGAGTATGTCTGACATCTCTGCCAAACTTGATCAGTGAATGATGCTATTTTAGGGAAGATTCGATATTTTTCTTTTATTACAAATGAAAATGGAAATATTTCTATGTATTTTAAAAGCCATTTTAATTTGCTGTTCTGTTAGCTAATTAGATCTTTGTTTCCTACTAGCACAGTGGGTGCTTTCTTTTTGATTATAAGAGTTCTTTGCATACTAGAGTAGTTCTTTCCCTCAGTACTAGGGACAGAACCCACCCACAGAAGACAGCTCTTCATGTGTGATTACGAATTGCAGTTTCTTTCTCGTCTACTCCATACCAAATTTCATGAAAATGGAAAACATATTCTTGTACGTCAAGTAGTGTTTTTAATAATAAAAGATAAAAGTAGAAGAAAAATTCATTAAATTGGATAATACTATCTCACATCAGATGACCAGTTTTTACCAAAGGGATTTATGGGGTTGTCTTATAACAGTCATTCAGCTTTTCTGATCGCAAACAATAAATATGAACACAAGATCAGTAGTCAGTAGGTCGGTAGCTCTTCAGCGTCTCATGGAACTCTGCTGCTTTGAAGACATAGTTGAGGGGCTTTTCAAAAATGACAGCTTTCCTCAAACAAAGAAGTTCCATCAACTCGATCATTTCCAATCTGTCTCTCACCAGTAATATTTTCTAATTTTAGTGACATCCTACCAAAAATTAATCTAAAAATTAAAGTACCATTAATTATGACAATTAAAATAGCAAAGCATTACCTCTCAACGCTCATACTTTTCCTTTCTCCGTCCCTTGAAAAGGAAACAAAACAAGTCTTTACTTTCTTTCGCAAAGAAGACAGTGACTTTCAATCAACCAAGAGGATTTAACATATTATTACCCTTTAGACAACTCAATTTTTAAGTTAAAATTTGTATACCATTAAGAACTATGAGGTTTTTTTCTTTTCAATCTAAAAAATAAAAATATCCCCAAAAGATAGATAAAATGTTAATATGATTACATGTGTCATAGGTCAAGTCTATACGTATTGAAGAAAACAAACTTAAAAATAAATAGATATTATAAGTTGCTTCTATTAAAACTAACAGGAGATAGTATAACAGTCTGCAATTATAAGATATTATTAAATTTAAATATTTTAATATCAACTGTCTAGTTTGGGGCTAGTTTTAACTCCTCTCACCTACAAGCCAATTCATTATTTATTTATAGTGCTCTAAAACCTCAGCCAGGATTTGGAACATAGCAGTTGGATGAAGACTAGAAACCTAAACCAACTAGTCTACCTTTTCTGACAGGGTAACTGCAACCAAAAAGTTGAAATGATATGTAGATTACTCATTTTTCAAATATTCAGTGGACATGCTATCACTCAAATACTGTTCTACACCTAGGGGATACAGGAATGAATAGACCACAGGTCTGCCCTTAAGAGACTTACATCTCAATGGAATGAAACAGATAAAACAAATACAGAAGTAAATACAGAATGGGTTAGAAGGGAAGCAGTACTCAGAATAAAGAACAAAGCACAGTGGCAGAGAATATCGACTGAGGGGGAGGGTGACCTTCAACTTTATAATATCACAAATTACATGTCAATTTCTCTTAAAAGCCTTGCCTGAATCTCCAGTATCAGAACTAACTATATTACTTTCAAGTACTACGGGAATAAAAAGCGTAATTTTCGGACTGAAAGAGAAAGTTTTATTTCCTGTGTTCCTCAAGCACTAGGTTATCTATGGTGCTGTGATGCCTTTCTCTTCCACTCCACCCACTCAAGACCAAAGTCCCTGTGCACCCAGAAGAGCGAAGAGCAGAACGAGATGTGACCGGCAGTACAGGCCTTGCAGTCTGGGGAAGGTTTGCAGGCTTACCTGGTCAGCCAGTTTTATAGGCATGCTCAGTGATTTTACTGCTGTCCTTTAGTTTAAGTGCGAGAATGTAAAGGAGTCATTTTGAGGAAAAGCTGACAGGATGATGACAAAATTGTAAAACAGTACTCAGGGTTGACGTTCATGATGCCCATTCTTTTTTATTCCCTTCTTTTCCTTTACCCCCAACAATTTACCCTTCTAGCTACAGGTTACCTCTTTTTAAAACCAGATAAAATAGTGATTGAAAGAAAATCCAGTGATTGAAAGAAAACCTGTTATTGAAAAGTGACTGAAAGAAAACCTGTTCCCTTATCTAGACCTTGCAAGGTTGGCTCTCTTAGGGCTCTGCCTCTGTATGACTTCTGTCAACTCCCACCTTTTCTACGCCCTCCTTCTACTTTACTTTCTTATTTCTTCACTTGGTTATTTCCTGTCGCTCACACCAGTATGCAAACTCCATGCAGGCAGGACTTTACCTCCTCACAGTTGTATCCCTCGTGCCTAGAGCAGTATCTCACACAAAGTACTCAGTTGTAAGTGAATGAGTCATTTATACATTTGGAAAAGAAAATGAAATACAGTTAGTTCAGTAAGGCTTTTGAATAGTCCTCATGTCTCCTTGTTTAAAGGGTGAATCGTGGAATATCAGCCATCCTTCTTCCGTCAACACCAGTGTTCCCCTTAAGGTCTGAACAAAGAGCAAGGTGGGAGAGAAAGGCAATAGGCAGTGTTTCTCTTGTCCACCTCCCCAACTGCTAAAGTCAGCAATCTTGGATTGATTCTTACTTCTTTTTTCCCTTTTTATCCACATCCAATCTGCTGACTTTATAATTAAACTAGTCTAAAAGAATTTTAAAATATTTTGTTTTTACAGCCTTGATCTAAATGGCTAAAATTGATATTGTAGCAAAGGATGAAAGGAAAAGCAGAATGACTACATACCTTGGCAGGTGGGTTGAACCTAGACCCAGGGAAATATGAAGGAAATAATGCCAAGATGTTTCAGAGAAAAGCAGCGAAAGCAATGCCCTCTGTTGGTAGAGCTCTGTACAAGTAATAATTCCAAGGGCCTTTAACATTTTCTCTGTAACTTTTCCTATCCCAGAGACCTAGAAGAGAATCAATATTTACTATTAGTAGCTCTTACAATCAATAAAAGTTATGAATATTGCATCTTCATAAATTGTGTAAGAAAGCTGAGTTTAATACTTTTGGGTCACATTTCCTAAAGTACCATTTCATGAAACTTTTAAAGTCATTAAAAAAGGAGTTCTGTGGACACATAAACTTAAGACTGGTAGGGTAAACAAACTTAAATGGAAATTTTTGCTACAGGATTTATGAGTCTTTAATATACCATTATATACAGAGTAACCCCCCCAAGGGTGGTAGATTCCAAAGTTATTTGATCCCAGAGCCTTTTTAAATTGGATATCTATTTGTACCTTGAAAAACACACTAGAAAATAACCACTATTTTATAGCTACTTCTTATATATATTATTCAGTAATCATTTACATTGTATAATTTCATAGAGCCCCCCTTTTTAAGCCCCTTTTTTTGAGCATTCAAAAATCCTTCATTTAAATTCATCCATATGAATAAATGAATGAAAACAAGTCCTAGACCATTATATAGTGTATAGTGCAGTTACTGTAAAAAAATAAGTGGCATATGCAGAAAAATCTAGAAGCTCTAAAGAATAATAAAATACATCGTCTTCTGGAATCCCTAAGGGATAATTTTATCATTTTAAAGACAGTAAAGTACTGTGGGTGGTCTACTTTTGTCAAAAACAAAAAAATTCTAAATGTCTTCTAAGTATTATATCTATTAATTTAATAGCAATCTGGCCTTGAGAATTAAGATAGTATTGTTAGAGTTGAAAGTATTCCTTCAAGAATACTTCTTATTTCCTTTCTCCTTGGCAAGAGTCCACTTAAGAGCCTATCATCTATTATTTTCTTAAAAATTTCCTGCAGAAGCTAGGAGTGGCCATGCACTGCTGTAATCCCAGCACTTGGGAGGCTGAGGCAGGAGAATTGCCATGAGTTTGTGAGTTTAAGGCCAGCCTGGGCTACATAGGGAGTTTAAGGTCAGCCTGAGAAGACCCTATCTCAAAAAACAAAAATAACAACAAAATTTGAAAAACAAAAGAACAACAAAAAACAAAAAAATAACAAAGGCTGAGCATGGTGGTGCATGCCTGTAATCCCAGCGCTCAGGAAGCTGAGGCAGGAGAACTGCTTCAAATTCAAGGCCAGCCTGAATGACATAGAGAAATCCTATCTCAAAGTGACAAAAAAAAAAAAAAAAAAATTCTTGCAAATAAGCTTCATAAACCTTAGTTTAAGGATTTTTTTTTTTTTTTTTTTTTTTTTTTTGGTTTTTCTCCGGTACCGGGAACCGAACTCACGACCTCGCGCTTGCCAGGCAGGAGTTTAAGGATTTCTTAATCCTTAAACAGAAAGATTTCTTCAAGTTTTCATTCAACCATCCATTATAGTTCCTGTCTGTTGCCCAGTGTTTTAAAACTTTTCAGCAAAAAACAATTATCATCAGCCAAAGTATATATGCAAATGCTATATAAATACTATATATATGCAAATTTTATACACAATCTCACCTTTCTAATGGGTAAATCTTTGATGAAATCCATCACAGCTTGTCTGTTGGGGAGAATTTGATATTGTCCATTTGGTTTATTCTTATCACTGCAGACTTTTGCTAACATTGTATTGGGAGCAATGCCTTAAAATGAGAACATTGTAATGACTTAAAGTTGATATGTATGACTTTTAATTATGTGATGATAAAAAATGTTTAAACACAAATAATATGAAACGATCTAATGCTACTTTAAAGATAACATATGATGCCATCTATCTCTCCAGGGCTTCCAGCGGCTTTACGAAAATAAATTGTGTAAGTTAGGGCAGGTGAAATGAGTAGTATTTAATTCTCCATGTTTTAAAATCTAAAATGTAGTGGAGACTGAGCCCAGAGTCTGCACTGAGCTATATCCCCAGATCCTTTTCTATTTTTAAATATGAGACAGGTCTTGCTAAATCACTAAGCTGCTGAGGCTGGGCTCAAACTTGTGATCGTCCTGCCTCAGTCTCCCAGAGTGCTGGGATTACAGGTGTGTACCACCACACCCGGCTTATTTTGAGGAGGGAGTTCCTTACCTTGATGCTTTCTGGGTTCTCTCCTGCAATCTAGGACAAGACTGAAGTTATCCAAAGAAAAACTAGGATAACTACATGAGATTTATGATAGTTTTATTCCTTTGGGCCCACAAGATTTTCTTTTTAATTCCAAATAACCTGTATGTTCAGTTATTCTTCTAACAGTTACTGTGTTAGAAGCTGAGTCAAAGAGTAGATGAGTGAAATGATACCACATCCTTTAAAATGAGAAGCTACTAATATTACACTAGAACTAGCCAGTCTGGAAATTTTAACCACAGTGACCCTCAATATCCTTTGAAATACCTGCACTGGCTGTTAGTGTTGTTTTCTGTTCAATTCTGAAACGAATTTCCTTTACCACTTCCTCGGCTGAGGTTCCAAAAACAACTGATTTTTGTGGTATTTGAGGATTGTTTTGTTCTTCAGAGTTCACTTGGGAAGGATTTCCTGGGGGCTGCAAATCAGGAGGACTGTCTTCAAAGAGTAGTGGAGAGACGGAGCGGTCACACTCACTCAGCTTATTAACTTCCTTTCCTGGTTCATCTAAATCGCAAATAAGAAAAATATTGCCAATAAGAATGGTAACTTCATTTCAGGAATTGCATACTCCTTAAGCCTGGTTTCCCTAGGTTTTCTTTCTTTAGCTTCCCATTTTTCTATTTTTCTTCTATATTATTTCTGAAGACAAAGCAAATTTAGTTTAGTTTTGTTACTGGGAACCAAGTTCGAAGTGCTGGCACTTATATTATGTGACTATTTGATTTTAAAAAACACTGTCCAGACTTTTCTTTAAAGAATATTACCCTTTTCCATAGTGTACACTTAAAAAAGGAAATATCCTAAGTAAAACACATTAATTTTGAAAATCATTACTTTTTTCTTAAAAAAATGAAGTTTTTGATCCTTTATTCTTCTTGATGAAGAAAAAGATCCTCATTAAGGTAGGATTTAGGAATGAGGGGAAAAGGCCTCAAGCAATATAAAATAATTATACCTAAAAAATCAGTTTTGTTTTTATTTTTTAATTTTTTTTTTTTTTGTCCTTTTGAGACAGGGTCTCACTATGCAGTTCAGGCTGGACTTGAGCTCACTTTGTAGCCCAGGCTGGTCTCAAACTTGCAAAGATCCTCCTGCCTCAGCCTCCCAACAGTTTTGTTTTTAAGAGGCAAAATATTTCTTTCACTCATGGAAGAAATTTTTCCAATGTTAATCTGAGTTTCCTTTTTGAAATGCTGATTTTAATTTGACTTATTTATAAAGCTTTGGTTTTACTGCACTTGTAATAAACAGAAATTACCTCTGAAAATTTTTTTATAGAAAGTCTAAAGGGTCGACTAGATGAGCCAAGACACAAGCTTAAGGCAAAGAAACTTTATTATTAATAACCTATAAGTTATAATTATTACAAGATAGGTAAATATACCTGTTATTACCTCATTTTATTTGCAGTTTTAAAAAATGAGCTACAAAATACACTGAAATCTACACTGATTCTTAAAACAGTCTGATGAAAAAATCCATAAAGAAAAATTTTCCAAATTAAGTAGAAAGTTTTTTCACTTAAGCATCGAGACACATATGAAGGTAGAGGACTTGAAAAACGAGTAGTCTTTCAGGAAACTTTGCTAAAGATAAGGGAAACAATATAGCAAACACTGGATTCGTTTCCCGCTTTGAAGTGTGCAACATGAATGACATTACAGACAGATGTTTTCCAAATCTGCATTCTCACGCCACACTCACAGGAAGACTTGTTTTCAAACTTCCATTAGGTGTTACTTACATGCTCTGGTTCCTTTTCATTCCCCATACTCCACCTTTAAAATTCAGAGCAACGTGGAGGGCAGGAAGAGATGCTGCTCACCAGGTGCCCTCTTCCCGCTGGCTGCGTGCAAGTCACCCAGGGCCCGGCCTGTGCCAGGCAGGCCCTCTACCAGCCCCCTTCCTTGCTTCCCGACTGAAATAGCCTTATCATCCCCATAACTGAGGAAATCAGAGTACAACACCAGGATTAAGCATTTCGTTCACATCACAAGTGCTATGAAGTGAAGTGTGTGCTCTCTGAGTTTCGGCCTGGCACTCAGCATCCGAACAGGGACAGTAAACATTAAGTAACAATGAGTAGTTTCTTTTTAAGTAGATATGGTAGTCAGCAATATGTTTTAAAAGAGAAGCACCTTTCAGAAAAGGGGCAAGCAGTACAAAAATGTCTGACTTTAAAGGAAGATACACCCATCAATCACCAGTCACACCTCCAAGCACTGTGGGTGTGAGATTGGACAGGCCTGAAAATGCGCCTCAGGAATTCACAGATGAGGAAAAAAAGTTAAACTAGTTCATTGCTTAAGAATATGAAATGAATGAAGAAAGCAATATACAAATAAATATGCTAAAGGCAACAAAAACTAAGACATCACATCCTCACTGTGAGTTTAGACATATAAGTGAGGAAGGCTTCAAAAGAGAATGACAAAATTTACCTTAAGCCCAATGTAAACTTTTTAAACAGAGTAAAAGTAATTGCTATGAAAGCTGACAGGAAACTGGGCATGGTGGTACAAGCCTGTAATCCCAGCACACTGGGAAACTGGGGTAGGAGGACTGCAAGTTGGATTCTGGTCTGGGGAACTTAGGAAAACCCTATCCCAAAATTAATAAAATAAAATACACAAAAGGTCTGGGGATGGAGCTCAGTGTGAAGGATCAGGATTCAATCCCTTAGTACCACAAGGAGTTGGAGGATGAAGAAGAGGAGGAAGAGGAAGAGGAGGAGGAGAGAGGCTGCTGTCACCTACAAGGGATGCTTTGTTGGAATCATTTAATGATTTCCTCCCCTCTCCCAGTATGAAAACTAAGGTAGTACCAAACAGAGAGTTTAAACAAAGTGACGTCAGGCTTCAGGTGTCACGTCCCCAAACAGCAAGGCTACACCAAAGAAGGAAAATATTTTTCTCCAAGCATAGATGTCTAGAAATAATTATCATTTAATGTTTTCTTAGCTGGGCATGGTGGCACATGCCTGTAATCCCAGTATTTGGGAGGCTGAGGCAGGAGGATCGTTTCGAGCTCGAGACCAGCCTGGGCTACAAAGTGAACTCAAGGCCAGCCTGAACTGCATAGCGAGATCCTGTCTCAAAAAGACAAAAAACAAAAAACATAACAAAAAAATGTCTCCTTGAAAGAAAAAGGGAGAGACCTGCCCCTCTGAGCTTTAAGTAATGACATTGTAATTCACTGTCTAGATTGAACTTGCTGCAAATGACATGAGCTCCAAAGAATGTAGGAGACTTAGAATTTTACGTCACTGTGGCTACCATTTTGCTCCAAGGAAAGTTAAATACCCCACCACTGCCCGGCCCCTCAGAAGCAGCACACACAGTGTGGCTGTGGTTGGTGAGCAAGGCCTCTGGGTCACCCTTGTCTCTAGGTGAAAGCACTCAGGAATCCAATCATCTGATCCAATTCAGACATTTTAAGTAATCATACCTTTGACAAAGGGTTGGTGGCATTATATGTAATACCTGCCTCTTTCTCAGCACCTATCTGGCTGGATAATAGAAGGGCTGTTTGACAAACCTGTGGAGCTATGAAACTTCTGTTTCACTGTTAGATAGAGTCCTAATGAGGCCCAAGGCAAAGAAGGAAAAGGTAAAGCATTAATTTTGGAAGGGTTGAAAACTGTATAGTTGCTGTGCTACAGTCACAGTATAGAAAACTTGGCAAGTGAAGAAAAATAAAGCTGCCCAATGTATTGGTGTTTGAGGTTAATCATTTTAAAATCTAACTTTTATCACCATCACAAAAAAGGCTACCTTAAGTAAAGAACTTTCTCAGCTGTAACACAGTCTAAAAACCCTTTGAGGCTAGAGTTTAAGACAATAACTGATACAATATTACCTTGTTTAGCGGCTCCACAGACTCAAAGCTGGAAGATTTAACAGTAGCATTTGTTTAAAAGCGATATTCTACACATTTAACTAAAATACCCACTAGGTGTATTTTAAGTTTCTGGATTTTCATTCTTATAAAAACACATCTAGTCCGACCACCTACACATGCCAGTGAGTTAACTGGGTTAATTCAGGGCTTGTTTTCATGTTTCATTGTTTTTATTTTGATAGCGCTCAGAAATCGCTCACCATTTTCTGCCGAGTTTCCAGTTTTGATGAAATAACTCCTTTTGTCCTCAGGCCAACTTTGCCTTTCCTGTAAGTGCTTTGTTATATTCAAGTAGGCTTCATCAAGACTCATGGCCATAAAATTGGGATCATAATCAGCAAGTATTTCCTTAACCTTCAAAAGGAACAAAAAAGGGTTACATTTTGCTGCCACAGCAAAACCTCCTGTCATACACAGCTGGTAAGGAACGTTAATATTCTTATTCTGCAACTACAGTAATGATCCTGCAATCAATAGTTCATGAATTTAAGGAATGAATAATTTACTGCCAGGGCATATTTGCCAAACTTTCTTTTATATTAAAGTAGATCACAAAGGCAGAAGACCGTGAAATAGCATGCAATCTCTATTTAGCCACCCACATCTAGATATAGAAAGCAATTCAAATAAATCTCAGAAAACATCATTCTGGTATACACAGTACAAAAAAAGACGGTATAGGTTTCAGGTAGCTAGTCAAAAGCAGAAGTGGGAATGATGGGACTCCATTTGGCTCATCTTTATGACGGTTTTGTTCATTTAAAAAGGAAAAGGAGTAATCTGATACAAAGGTACTGTGTTGCTTTAGAAAGTAGTTATTTCAACTAACCCTAACATGCGCATAAAGCTCCACTACGTATACATATTAATGCATGTGTCCATAAGGAACATGAAGCTCTACCACTCCTTGGAATCTGGAACAGAAAAGATGATGAAATCTATAGTGTAATTCCAGGCTACACTAAATGAGGGGGAAAGTCTGGAGAGCATCGTAGCATAAAATACATACAAAGATTAGAGTTACAGTGTCTGTAATCCAAAAATCTCTCTTACAGAAGATAGTTTCATTACATTAAACTCTGAAGGTTTGTATGGTGCTTGTTTGCTTTTTGCACCACCAAGGTATTAGCAGTAATTAGAGGGAATGGTTGCTAAAATAATACATCTATTACAAGACATACTGGCTGAATTATATTATACTCCATCTATCACTTAAAAGCTGCCTACTATATCACGAGAAAACTTTGTTTCATAAAAGGGAAGCATTTTAGCTCAACATAATTATGAACAGCTGAGTCAAGGGAAATTTGGAAAATGGTGATTGAGAATTTGGCACCGTTTCACTGAGGGAGTGCCCTAAATAGCTGTGTTCTTGTAGGAGAAACCGCTTTTATATGTACTCAGACAGAATCTTTCTAGTGAAAATGAGACTCGGAGAGTCTGTAGCTGGCAGCCCACTAGGATTCTGAATGAGAGGTGCTCCCTAGAGACGCTGCTGAGTGCAGGCCTTCCAAACGCCCTTCCACAGGACACGGCTAGAGGAACTCAAACAGACACGTTCCAGTAAAAGCCAAGCCTGGAAAGCTCTAGGAACAGTTAAAGCTATTTCAATATTTAGGATAAAACAAAAAGTGGATCTTCAAGTTTTCTACCCACACTAGAAATATTAATGCATCCATGTTAATTTACATACAATTCATTTATCTTCAAATTAACTACCTAGAGACTGCTGAAATTGGAAGATTTTTCCCAACCTTATATAAACAGAAAGACTAAGGATAACTAAAGACAATTTACTTCTTATTTCTTATTTTGAGACATAATCTCGCTAAGTTGTTAAACTGTCCAGGGGCTTGAACTGTCCATCCTCCTGCGTCAGCTTTCCAGAGTACTGAGATTATAGGTGTCCGTCCCCATGCTTGGCTTTTGTAGGATTTTTTACATATTAAAAGTCTATGTTTCATGGTTAGCACTTTATCTCTAATTAGAGATATAGTAAAAACAATCAATAGTTCACAAATGTATGGTTTCCCCTCCCCTAGCACACTTTTAGAAATAGGCACAAAGCACCTGTTTTAAATAGATTGTTTTTGAAAGAATAAAGACAACAGTTTGAACATTTGGGTGGGGGTATCATTTCTAGGAAAAAAGAGGCAGAATAGAAATTTTTAATTTTTAGCGGTGAATTTGGAGGTCACGCACATGTTTAAAGGGTAACAAGCAGCACACTATATGGTGGCTTTGCTTTGCTTTGCTTTTTGAAACCAGGGCTGCTCTACCACTGGCCAACATTCCCAGTCCCTTCTGAGACCAGCTCTTGTTAACTTAAAGTTGCCCAGGAAAGATTCAAACTTGCAATCTTCCTGCCTCAGCCTCTCAAGTAGCTGAGATCACAGCCATTTACCACACAAGGAAGTCTTTAATGCTGCATCTTACAAGGGCAGTCAAAAAGCAATGTAGATGCGGTACCCTCAAATTTTAATTCAAGAATTAAATCCCAGCACTGCATGACAGGCCTGTTATCATTCAAAATAGAGAAAATGGCAGTTTTTCACATGAGAAAGTTTGGGATTTTAGTAAATGACCATATCTTTACATTTCAGAGCTCTTTCAAAACAGTGGGTTATTCCCTCTCCTCTCTGAGTACCAGTCTCTGAGACACACGTTGCCCATCACCTTCACAAGACTGCAGAGAAGAAAAGTGACTTTTGTTATTGCATAAAAATGCTTATAAAAAGTTTACACAGAAGACACTGAAACCAGTGACAAGTAGATTCTTTAAATTACAAATACAAGGGCTTTCTAGAAGAAAATGTATTTTACACTAGGAAAGAATAGCTACAGTTAATTTTATGTTATAATTACAGCTATTCAAAGTTTTGGGAGAAGAGTTTTCTAAGCAGATGAAAAGCACTTGGAGGGTATTTCTGTCCACTGGAAAACAGAATGTGTATTCCAGGTGCTGTGAACAGCCCAGTATTGACTGTGCAAGCTGAAGAAATGGTTGGAGGTGAGGAGAGGATTAGCTAAGGCCAAATCCTGATGTGCTAAGGCATTTGGATTAGACTCCGGGTGTGACAGGAAACCAGTGAGCAGACGGAAGTAGGAGGAGACATAGACTCACCTCTTTACTCACAGCTCTGTACTTGTCAAAGTTTGGGGGCACGATAATGAGATGTGGGCAGAGTCGCTTAGCAATAAATCCGGGCATGGCTGCGCGAACACCAAACCTCCTTGCGTGGTAATTTGAAGTAGACTGAAAAAGAATTGACCACACAGGAAAAATAAACAAACCTAAGTGGACGTACTGATCAGTGCATTCACAAGAAACACATTACTGATGTGCATTTTCAATTCAGGGCATTTGCTTTATGGACCACTGTCTTGAACCATCTTTTGACTTTATGGTATTAGATACCACGACTTGCACACACTGCCCTTCTTCCCTCTACTTATAAGGTGATTCCAGCTGAAAAGACTGTGCTGATAAAAATATTCTTATTTCTAGTAACTACACTTCATTGGGCTTAAGGCATAGAGTATATAGCAAAGTCTAGACAATAGCAAATGATGCTATATCAAAGTAAAAGTATAGTGAGTACTGGAGAATAGCTGTTAACAAAAGTAATGGTCTAGAAAACTGTAATGTAGGTTAAGTATCCTTAAGAACAAGGGATGTTTAATCTGAAGTATTTGTTTAGAATTTTCCCTATTCGGAATTTTGAAAAAATTTCCACCTAGAACAAAAAGGCAAAGGTCTAATGTCTGGCTAAACTAAGTCTCTAAAAAAAGTGAATAAAGCTTAAATAGAACTTCAAATTTTATGTTCTATTTCTTAAGATTTCAATACGGTTTTCTGACTAGGAAATAGGACTAAAAAAGTATGAGAATTAAAATGACTATTACTTGTTAAATCATATTGGTGCTGATAGTTGACAAGAGTCTACGCCAGTGTCACAGAGTATAGTACTACTTACTCTAAAATTTTATAGTAAATTGGTCGTGGTGGCACATGCCTGTAATCCCAGCACTCTGGGAGGCTGATGCAGGAGGATGCCAAGTTTGAGCCCAGCCTGGACAACTTAGTGACTTAGCGAGACCCTGTCTCACAGTTTAAAAAAAGGCTGGAGCTATAGGTCAGTGCACAGGTCTGAGTTTAATCTCCAAAATATATACTGAATTCTTCTTTGAAATTCAAAGAACTACAAAACAGAATCCATCCAATGAAGAGACTAATTCAGAATATCAAATACCTTTTAATGGTTTTCAAAAGGCATTTAAAAAATCTTGATAATACTCAAAGCTATGCTAATGCTTGGTCAGCATTCTAGAAGGGAAAATGCAGACAGTGCTAGAAAAAACAAACCAACACTTTAATATAAACAAGTTTAATGGAATTAATATCAAAGCTAGACCTACAGTAGAGTAGAAAAAATTATGTGTAGGAATTCCTCTAATTTCTGAGTTATATTAGATGACAAATCACAGCCAGAAGACTTACAGTTTTCTGTTTGCTTTTTGTTCTTTGCTGGCACTGAGACTAAACCTAGGGAGCTCACTCTCCAGTCAACCCCCTCCCCCACCTTCTGAGCCTTGCTAAGCTGCCCAGGCTGACCCCCAATCTGCAGTCCAGGCACAGTCAAGTGGAGCTGTCCCCACAGAACTCTGCTCAGATGACAGAATCATGAGAAAGGACAAGTTACCTGCTGAGAGGTTTCTTATACTGTAACAGAAACTGCTGCCAGGTCTCAGTGCCTGGTCTCAGTGTCAATTCAAACCATTTCAAAGACACATCAAATTTACCAAAAAAATTTTTATGCATAATAGACTTAATTACTCAAACATGTCACCACTTCCATTAATTTGTACCTACTTTTATGATTTACTATGATAAAAATAGCCATGCTTCAAGTCTCTTTAGAAGACAACTTTATTAGTTCAGTATACAAAAAGACTAATCTTAAAAAAACAAAAAACAAAAAGACTAATCTTAGCTTAAATATAGCAAATAATAATGTTGAATTTGGAAACACAAACCAAATTTTGGGGAGGGCAGAAATTATCAGGAAAAAATATTTTGTGGATTTCAAGAACAATGGTTTAGTTCTAGCATGACTACAGTACGTGTATACGTATACACGCACCTATATAAATGTGTACACATAGTAGAGTACTATACCTTCTTTATAGAATTAAGTATCTTTTTCCAAATATTTGTCAGTGACTCATAGGAAAGGGGGGTAAGTATCCTTTCAAGACATTGAAAGACATTGTTTTAGAACCACACTTGTTAGTTGTCTGAATATTCATGGGCGCAGAGATAAAAAACAGTCGGATTATAGTTTTATAATAAAATAATAACTCAGAAGGAGTCAGCAATAGGAAAGATTTCTCTTTTATTTCTCTAGTACTTTTTAGTACTAAAACACACCTACTCTAGTTTCTACTTTTAATTCCCAACAAATTTTCAGCCACATACAGCTGTCCTAGTCAAGTTTACCTTCTAGGGTTACAGCAACAAAAAGAGAGCAACAAAGCAGTCAAAAGAGCAAAGACTGAGTGATGGGAAAATTATTTAATTGCACTAAATGTACTACATTAATAAAATATGTCAGTCTAATATTAGGCTTGGCAAGCTTTTTCTACAAAAGTCCAGGTAGCAAATAATCTTGGGATGAGCTCATCCTGCTTTTGCAGTTACTCAATTCTGCTTGTTTAGTGCCACAGTAGTAATAAATAAATGGCTGTGTCTTTGTTCCAATAAAATTTATTTGCAAGAAGAATGGCAAGCTGGACATGGCCTCTAGGCTATAGTTTGAAAATCTCTACTTCAGAATAGCATTTTCTTTCCTTTCTTCAACTCTCTGTAACTAGGACACTCATGAAAAATTTAATTTGCAAAGGAAAGCTACAGCATCATCCTACCATTTTACCCAGTTTATAACTCTGGGCAAGTTACTAATAGTCTCTCTATATTTGTCTTCTTTTGTGCCAAATAGAATTAAAAATGAGTACCTGAAGGTATGTTGAAAGGATTCAGTAACTAAGGATATATAAGGTACCCAGAAAAATACTCAACGAACTGGTAGACCTCAACAGAGCCTCTTCCTTCCTGAACCAGCAGGCTTACTCAAATATGTTACAAAATACCCTTTTTGTTCTTGATCTTTGCCTACTTACCAACATACTCATTGATCCTACAGCAATGGGCTTATCCTTCAGTTCCGGATTGTCCCTCATTTCTACAGCAGCATAGAAAGCATCCATATCAATATGCACTATGGTATTGTTCAAATCCCGGCGGTGTTCTATTTCCATTACAAATCTGTCAACCTTAATTTTAAAAAGTTAAATTTTTTCAGGTAACATAATATTTAATCATCATTAATCATAACAGGAATTTTAATACAGTAGGTATCTGTTTGTCTATCCATGCACAGCTACTAACTTAGGCATGCATGTTTTGTTGTTCTATGGTATTTGTATTTGTTTTGTTTCTGTTTTCGTTTTTCTTCTAGTACCAGGAATCGAACTCACGACCTTGCACTTGCTAGGCAGGCGCTGTGCCACTGAGCTAAATCCCCAGCCCCTCAATGGTATTTGTGAATGCACGATTTATTGTTGTTTACTAAGGCTGGTAATTCTTTTATTTCCACAAATACACCCTGTTCTCAGATATCATTCCCTAACATCTCTTCCACCTATACTCCCAGGCATGTAATACAACTTAATTACTTATTGACAAATGAATGATTTCAACTGCTTATATCAAATGATTCTATTGCTTTTAAATTTGGGGAACTGAGTGTACCTAAAAGTTTCAACTTAAATAAAATAACTCCCATTTGACTCATAATGTTAAATTCTTAAAATAGCATCAAAGGAAATGCACACAAAAAAGATTATATGTCTCTGGCATATGGTGTTACATTGCATAGTAATGTACAGCCAAATACACTGAAGTATATATATACTTCCTCTGAAAACCTGATTTTATAATGCTAAAATTTGATAAATGGTAGTCTACAGAAATAAAAATGGAAAACTTAAAGCTATAATTTATCCTTCTTGATTTCAATAAGTATATCAAATATAACCATGACAAATCCTAGTTTTTAAAGAATTTTTAGTCAGATATGGTGGTGCATGCCTGTAATACCAACACTCTGGGAGGGTGAGGCAGGAGGATTGCAAACCTTGCTTGGACAACTTAGAAAGAACCTGTCTTACAATAAAAAACATTTTTAAAAAAAGGAGCTGGGGAAGTAGCTCAGTGTAAATGACCTGTGTTAAATTCTCAGCTAGAAAGAAAGAAAGAGGGAAAGGAAGAAAAGAAGGAAGGAAGGAAGGAAGGAAGGAAGGAAGGAAGGAAGGAAGGAAGGAAGGAAAGAAGGAAGGAAGGAAGGAAGGAAAGAAGGAAGGAAGGAAGGGGAGGGAAGAGAAATGGAAGGAGGTAGAAATGACCAAATTAGGCACGCAAGGGAAGGTGTTTCAGAGCAGATGTACTAATTTGTGACGGCTGCTTTTTGCGGCCAGCTTACACTGATGCTAAATACTTTCTCAGTTTACTCTGTTGTTGACAGCTTTGGTCTCTACAACATGTAAGGAAGTTACTGAGACCATTAAAGTAAAATCTTAAGAGAAGGAAGCTATTAAACGAGCTAGAGCAGATAAAGAGCATGGAACAGTGCTTGGCACACCGCACAGTTCAATAAATTCAGTGCGTCATCACAAGGATCAGTGGATAGCTGAGTAACAGAGCAATCAAACACCTCGGGAAGAACAGCCAAGAATAAGCAAGTGGGGCAATCTCTGGAAAGAAAGCAATCTCCACCATACAGAGATCCTGACAGCAAGTTTCCCCAAAGGTGGAGACCTGAGAGGTGCAATGTGGTTTTCCACTTATGCTGTACTCCGACCTGGCTTCCACTCTGCAGAATTCTTTTTTCATAGCCTTCCTTCCTAGTATCACTGCAACAGTAGCTGCTCCCCAGCTGCAAGTAAAAAGTGTAAATCCTCTTCTAGAAGCAACCACACTGAATTGTATTTGTCTACAGTGGCCGCAAAGAGGCTCTCCAGAGGGCGGCTCCTCTTTAGCCTATACCTGAGTGTGTGCCCTGCGGGGCTCTGCACCTCCCTCAGGCTGACCCTGTCCAGATAGCTTTTCCAGCACTGTCATGCGCCCTCCTGGGGCTGATCATGTCTCTCTTAATTGGATCCCTGTCTTCCATGCTACAGAATTTAATGTCCCCTTGTTTTCCTGCTCTTACTGCAGAACTTGCTATATTAGATACATTAGATCTTAAATTGTAGGTTCCTTTGGAAGAAATATTTACCTTTAAATCTTTCCCCACAGGGGCTGGGGATTTAGCTCAGCGGCACAGCACCTGCCAGGCAAGTGCAAGGTCGTGAGTTCGATTCCCGATACCAGAAAAAAAATAAAAAATAAAAAATAAAAAATAAATCTTTCCCCACAAGAAGAGGAGGCACTGGTAGGAGAAATAAAATTTAAGCCACTATAATGCAATATTAGAAAAATTTTGGAGAAGGTTAACTTCTTGTAGTGAGGCACTGTACCTAATAAAGCTTTTCAATCTTACTCTAATTTACTATGCTGATTTCCAACTCTTTGTTTTAGTCCTTTAATTCTGAAATACAGAATAGCATCCTGACTAGATAAATCAAACCATGGAGACAAATAAAAACAAGGGCTGACTAGAAACTAATCTACATTAATCCAGAATATATATTTGAGACATGAATTGAGTAAGCATAAGGGAGTGGCATCTTCTTATATTTTGATCTGGAATCATCTAGACAAGCAGATAGTAAATAGAAAGCAAAAATTCTCCTCAGATTCACATTTCAGTGCTACGGCAGGCTCTTTAGCAATCCATTCCCTTTCTGGTGTTTAAGGCAAGTTGTGCAGTTGCCAAAGGAAACCTCCCCACTGCATGACTCAGACGTTCCACTTTCCTTACTCTCTCATCAGTCACCTTTGTCTGAATGCTTCTCTCCCTACAACGACCAGATACGCACCACACCACCGTATTTTTAAGTTCCTTCTACCAAAGGACTCATCCACGGTATGCTTTCTTCCATTTTCCCTCCTAGAGACTTTCAGGCGCTGATCATAATCTGTAACGTGGATCTGGTTCCTCTTACTATTGCTGAGAACCGGTGGGTGTCAAGGGATTACGAGAAAGGACTTTGGTTTGGGTCCTAGCACATGACAGCAATTCCCCTCTCATTATTACTTTCCTTATGTGTAAAGTGGAACTAAACTAACCTCAAAAGATTGTGGAAAGAATTAAAAGTGATACTCATATCACACTCTTATCTAGGGATACAGTAAGAGCTTAAAGATAGGACCTCTAGTTTTAAAAGAAGTGACATTTATTATGTTACATGTATCATATAAGACACTATTTCCTATGCTAACTCAAAATAATAGAGATAAGTGTAAAAATAACCCTGAGATTCTAATTATATAAATGAGGAAACTAAAACTCAGTAAGATTAAGTAATTTGATCTGAGTCATACAGCGGGTAAACGGTCATGCTAGACTTGCAAATGAAGTTACTCCAAAGCCTAGGTTCTTTCTATTACCTTATGATGTTTCCCTAAAATAGACTTTTAAAAGTCTTTAACACTGAAATAAGCTCAAATCACAATTTGATGGTATATTATGTATTTAAATTATGGCTTCTTATTTACTTTAAAAATCTTTGACTTATTTACTTAAAAAATTTTTGATCCTACCTCTTTTGTCTCTAACTCACTATTATTCGTCTATTTGTTTTCCTGAGAAACTATTTTGTAGATAATAATATGTAAAACGATAATCATTGATAATTTCCTACCATTTTGTCTATAATTTGCTAAGTCCCCCCTATTATTATGTTATCCTTCTTTTACTCTTTAAAATAAAAAAAAAAAAAAAAATTTTTTTTTGACTTAGAATTTCCTTAAAGACTATGGTATAAATCTGAGTTAAGAAAGTCAACCATTAAAATAGTCAAAATGTATGAATTTGTTGATGTGCAGTTGCCTTTTAATACAACATGGATGTTTGTTTATTCAGTTTATGCACCACTGTTATTAGAAGCTACATTAGCGGCTATAACAATGCTTGTGCCTTGTAGGAGGTCTAATGAGGATGAGGCAGACAGTCCTTAGAGAGGGCTACACCAACATCCAGGTGCTCGTGCAAGAGGTTAGTTAGCTCAGCTTCAGCCTGGTCAGAACAGTCCACACTATCCTGCCACATGTAAGAGAAGCGAGTACTTGGAAACTATGACTCTAAAATATAAACACATTTCGCATGAAAACATCTCTGATCTCTCAGACTTTCATGACTACTTAGGACTTCCTCAATCTCCTCCCATTTATACAAGTTCTTCTAGAGGAAGTTCCACACATGAAACAATTCAACAATCAACATAAAACACATTTCCTGCCATTCCTGTTGCAAAAAATGTCAGATAGGCTTCCATGAAATATTTGACTAAAACTGGAACAAAATTTCAAGTTCTGCTATGCAATAGAAGGTGTTTGTACTCCAGATTACAGGCATATGAAAGGATAGGCTTTGAAGAGCATGCACAGCAAAAACATTGCTAGATATCACCACTCATAGGTACCTTTGTTTCTTTAAAACTTTTATTAAAGATATTTGTAGATTATAGATCAATAAAACTTAACTGAAGTGTTTAGAAAATAAACTGCTTAAGGAATAAGATCAATTTTAAAAGTTGTTTAAAGTTTTTTTAAAAACTTGGTGAAAATGATGTTTATGTGTATTTGAAAGAAACAATGCAAGAGAAAAACTAAAAAGCTTTAAAGAAGAGTTATGAAGGCGAATACTACATTATACTTTTACTTTTTAGTAATTAAAATTATATGGTACAGATATAGGAAAAGAATCAATTAAGAGAGAGTCCAGAAACAAACCAAAGTACCACCAGAATTTAGTTTAGGAAATATATAATACCAGTTAAGAAAAAACTACGCATTTTACATTAAAACAAATTTTAGATTTCTGCTCCATAAAAGACACTATCAAGAGAGTAAAGAGACAAGCTACAGATTGGGAGAAAATATTTTAAAAAGATATAACTGGGATAGTGCTATTATCCAAAATATACAAAGAATTCTTAAAACTCAACAATGAGAATACCACCTGATTAAAAAATGGGCCAGAACTGAGTGTGGTGGTACACATCCGTAATTAGAAGGCTGAAGCAGGAGGATCTTGAGCTTAAAGCCAGCGTGGGATACACTGTGAGTGTAAGGCCAGCCTGAGTTACATAATGAGACCCTGTCTCATTTTTTTAAAAAAGGAGGAGCCAAAGACTTTGACAGATAGCAAAGAAGATATACAGCTGGTAGGTAAGAATATGAAATGTTGCTGAAAGTCATATGTCTTCAGGGAAATGCAAATTTAAAGAACAAGATACCACTATCTTGTGTAACTACTAGAGTAGTCACCAGCAACATCAAATGCTAGGAAGACTCGTAATGAGGGAATTCTCTCACTGCTGATTGGAATGCAAAATAGCATAGCTACTTTGGGAAACAGTTTGGCAGTTCCTTATAAAACTTGCCGTATGATCCAATGATTATATTCCTTAGTTGAAAACCAAAGGAGCTGAAAACTTATGCCTACTCATTTACTCTTTCTGCTTTTGCTGTCTTCTGCCACCCTGAAGTGTTGCTCCTGTGCCCTGCCACCCTGCCTTGGAGCCAGCTGATTATAAACTAAAACCTCCACAATCTATGAGCTAAACAAACCTTTCCTTCCTTAATTTTGGGTGTCAGATATTTTGTTCCAGCAATGAAAAAAAAATAACTAAGACAATTACATAAATATTTGAAATTGTAGAGGAAAAAACCCCTGCAAAATTAAAAGATAAATAACATATTGGAAACATATTTATACCAAGGGTAAAAAAATCCTTAATATACAATAAGATATTATAAATCAAGAGAAATGGATATGACGTCCTCTAGAAACGTGGGCAAATGATAATGCTTTGGGCTGCTAGTTCAATCTCCCAATCTATTCTTTCTTCCTTATACAGAAACAGATTTTTAGCTGGGCACATGCCACCCAGTGAGAGAATATATACTTTACAGCTTCTATTACAGTTATGTATGGCACTTGTAACTTAAGTTACTGCCAGAAGGATGTGAGCTTAAGTAATGTGTGCCACTGCTTTTTCACTTGTTTAATGGCAAATTGCTTACGTCTGACATTTTTCTTCCACTCTTCCTTGTGGAAGAGATGGAATGTGGGTTGCAGATAATCCAGATGTATCAGCTAAAGTAAAGATAACACCCAGGGATGACAGAACAACATAATTTACAGAATCAAAGTCTCTAAATTACTATGGAAATCAATTACCCACTAGCTGGGACTACTAGGCTATGATGTGAGAAGGAAACGTTTATGGTATTTAAAGTAGATTTTTGGGTTTCTTGTGCCAGCTACAGGACCTATATTCTAGAGATTTTTTTTTTTTTTTTTTGGTTTTTCTCCGGTACCAGGAACCGAACTCACGACCTTGCGCTTGCCAGGCAGGCGCTTTTGCCGCTGAGCTAAATCCCCAGCCCCCAGGATCTATATTCTAACAAAATAAAAGAAGCACTTCCAAAGTATGGAAATAATAATAACTCAAATGTGAAGCAGTGTTTTCTCTCTTTCAGAATAACAGGAAGGTAAATTAAAATACGCAGGAGACAGTATTTTGGATACTGAACAGCAAAAGCAAAATATTGATAAAATTAATAAACTCTGGCTTTAAAAAAGTATGTGAGGAAGTTAATCCTTATATGTTGAAAATCTGAGATAGTATTAAGTGTGGTGAACTTAACTGCACTAGAGTATAGAGACAGATGAATAGGAATTATCACCAAAAAACAAAATCTGGACCCAGGGTGGGGTACGGAGATAAAATGGTGGTCCCTCCATACAGTGGATGCTGTGAAGCACTGAAAATGATGAGCCATCTTCTGCAACAACAGCAGACCACTTAGAAGTTATCTGTGCTGCAGGAAAGCATCTATCAAAAAATGACAATCAGCGTGGTAAAGAAGACAAAGTCTATCCTGTGTGAATGCTGTCACAAGAGAAGGATCTTGTAGCACATTAGCTTAATATCACCATTTTATTTTGTACTACAGTTCAGTGCTTTGTTAACACTGAATCAGATACAAACAGAGAGTAAACTTATCTGGCATGACTGTAGCTTTACTGGCAGAAATTTCACTGTCTTATGTGATCAGTTTACTTCCTGGTGCCCTGTACCTTGGTTCTTACCAAATTTTTCTACTGATGTAACTGACTAGAAGGAAATTGGAGTTATTTATGAAACTCAAATTCTGGAGAATACAAGTTTTCAGAAATCTTATGCTTATTTTTAAAATTTATGCACATTTGGCATTCTAATCTATAATGCAACTTTTTGTTTTACTCTAACATGTTTATTTTATATTAATTTCCAGTTTAATAGGTTAATATGTTACCTCAAATCTTTTTTTTTTTTTTTGGTAAAAAATTACAGAAACTATGTCACAATAGAGAGAAAGAGAGGGAGAGGGAGAGAGAGGGAGAGAGAAAGCCAAAAAATGTATACATACCTACACATCACAGAAAAAGAAAAACAGTATGATGCTTTTTCAAAAGATGATATTACCCTTGTATGGAGGGACCCTAGAGGATGCTATATATTTCAGAAAACCCACTAGAGTTCCTTGGAGAAGAAATTGAAAATGCTTGTACAACCATGTGAATGCTCAAGCACTTGCTGTACTAATGAGAGTTTGGAAGCTAATGGCCACCACTTTGAGCACTTTTTGTAACTGGAGATACCAAAGGTAACTTGTATTAATGTTATGATGGCTCAATAAACTTAGCATTAAAATATCTGTACAAGTTTTTCTTCTCCTAAAGTGTATATACCTTCTTTTGGTTTTCTCTCTATATCTATCTATCTATATATATCTATCTATATATATCTATATCTAGTACACACTTTGGGTTGCACCCTAGCTCTGCCAAATACTTCTTCTATGAAGCTGGGCAAGTTACTTAATTAAAACTCCATTTATTCAGGAGGTTGAGGCAGGGGGATCCCTCTGAGTTTGAGGTCAACCTGGGGCACATAGTGAGTTCAAGGTCATCCTCAATCACACAGCAAAACCCTGTCTCAAAACAAAAACAAAACATTCCATTTATTCTTCTATAAAACAGAGGTAATAATGTCCAGCTGTGGAATCTTTGTGTAAATGAGTAGATTAATACTAACGTATGTGCATTTGCTGATGTGTATGTTTTAAAACATAATGAACATTTACATTTCATCTTGTTGGCAGTTATGACTTGATAATGCACTTTAGCAGTCAATTACCATCCTACCGCCTTCTTCTCTAACAACTGAATTAATACCTGCAATTGTGCTTCCCTTAGCTGCTGGTTGGTAATTTGTGCTTTTTGTTGCATCATATTTTCAATGCGTTGATTGACTTGTTTTTCCTTCTTGAGCTCATTTCCATAAAATCTAGACCCCTAAGGAGAAAACAAAGCATAGGAAAAATGTCTGAAGGAACAATCATTTGTATATAACCTGGTGGCTAAGCAGATAAGATTCTGGAATTCTGGTTCAGACTGACTGAACCCAAACCTTAGCTTTACTACTTACCAGTTGGGTGATACAAAAATTCTTACACTTTCTATGTAGCAGTTTCTTTATCTATAAAATGTATTTCCTAATAGTTACCTAAATCATAGAATTGTGAAATAGCACTAAGCACAAGCTTTCTAAGTACAGATTTGTATTCAGAAAAGAACAGTCTGTTCTAGGTGGGATCCTTGGAGCGCATGCAAGGCTTTAGTAGGCTGAGTCATCAGTTATCTCCTGCACTAAAGCTTACTCCTTAACAAAGTATTTTCAAACTGGTGTATATGCCTATAATCGCAGGACTCTTGGAGGCTAAGGCAAGAATGTGGTTAAGTTCAAGCCTAGCCTGGGCAACTTAGTTACTTAGCAAGACCCCATTTCAAAATAAAAAATAAAAAAGAGCTAGGGATGTAGCTCAGTGCAAAAGCCCTGAGTTCAATTTTCAGTGCCATCAAAAAAAAAAAAGTATTTGCAAATGTTTTACATTAAATCAATGTAAAATATAGAAGATACTTTTTACATTACCTATAATTTCACTACTGAAGATTGTGTCTATGCATGCATAGTGTTGATATACATTAGGTTATTTTTAACCTTTTGTCTATTATGAAAAAAATGCTGCTATGAACATTTGTGTACACGTTTCTTTGTGGACACACTTTGTCAGTCCTCTTGGAGTATGTGCAAGTTCTCAGATTCTATCCTCAGCGCTGTAAAAATAAAGCTCCAAGGGCATTAAAAACAAAAAGAGCAAAGAAGGACATCCACATTAGTTTGTTTTTATACGCATATTATATGCACATGAAGTGGAGCATGGGACAACAAGGGCAAAACATTAGAAGAGCGATTGCTCCACACTTTTTCACAGTTTAGTAATATTATACAATAAAATTTTTAGTAAAAAGGATTTCAAAGCTTAAGATTCTCTTTTAAACAGAATGTTTAAAACTAACAAAATTACAGATATTGAAAGAAACAAGAAACATACTTTTGTGGCTTCCATTATAATCTTGTTAATTTTCTCCTTATCTAGTCCTTCCATTCCGGCTTTGTTATCATTAAGTCCCATCCTAAGCAGAAGATCCTCGTTGTAATTGTTGCTCTTCTCCTTTGTGATCTCCATGGCCTTTAGACTTGAAGTAGTCTCTTCTTTGTTACCTGAATGAGGATATAAACACAGATTTTAAAACTGTCCATTTAAAAGTTAAAATGATAGGGAGATTAGGAAATAAAATTTAAAAATGATAGTTAAGAATTAATTCCTAAACCAAATTAGCTCTTGAACCAAAACTTGGAACAAAAAGCCTTAGGAGATATCAACAGAGTGCTCCATGCAACAACAGAATACACATTCTTCTCAGAAGCACACTGGACTTTCTCTAAAGTAGACCTCAAACTACCTCATAGAACATGCTTGCATAAATGAAAAAGAACTGAAATTATCCCATGCATATAATAAAACCATAGTGCAATGACATTGGAAATTAATGGCAAAAGAAACCGCGAGAATGTCATAAACACACAGAAATTAAACAACACCCTCCTGAACAACCAATGGGTCACAGATGAAATTAAAGAAGAAATTCGACAGTTTCTACAATTAAATAATAATGCTGATACAAGATACCAGACCTTATGGAATACAATGAAAGCAGTCCTACAAGGGAAATTCATAGCAGTGAATGCCCATATCAGTAAAACAGAGCAAGCTCAAATAAACAACCTAATGTTGAACCAGAAGCTTCTAGAAAAAGAAGAGCAAGTCAAGCCCAAAGTGCATAAGAGGAAGGAAATTATAAAGATCAGAGCAGAAATTAATGCAATTGAGACTAAGAAAACAATACAAAGACTCAATGAATGAAAGAGGTGGTTCTCTAAAAGATTAAATAAAAGGCACCCTTTGGCCAACCTTATCCAAAAAAGGAAAGAAAAGACTCAAATCCATGCAAGTAGGCATGAAAAGGGTGAAATCACCACAGATCTTCCAGAAATCTAGATCATCAGTATCTACTTTGAGAACCTATGCTCTAATAAGATGGAAAATGCAGAAGAAATTGACAGATTCCTGGATACATATGAATTATCAAAGCTGAGTCAAAAAAATATAAAAATTCTAAGTAACCCAATACCAGTCAATAAAATTGAAGAAGTAATTTAAAAACTACCAACAAAGAAAAGCTCTAGTCCTGACAGATTCACTACTCAATTCTATAAGAACTTTAGAGAAGATCTAATGGTATCACTTCTCAAACTCTTTAATAAAATTGAAAGGGAAGCAATACTCCCAAAGTCATTCCTGGAAGCAAGTATTACCCTGATACCAAAAGTAGAGAAGGATCCAGCCAAAAAAGAGAATTACAGGCCAATCTCCTTGCTGAGAACAGATGTAAAAACACTCAAGAAGATACTGGCAAACAGAATGCAGCAAATCATCAAGAAAGGAGGATTCAACCCAAGGATGCAGGGATGGGTCAACATATACAAATCAATACATATAATATACCATATTAACAGAACCAAGGACAAAAAAACCACATGATCATTTCACTAGATTCAGGAAGAAAAGTTGTGGTATTTTTATACAATAGAGTATTACTCAGCTATAAAGATAAATTTGAGGCTTTTACAGGTAAATGGATGCAACTAGAGACCATACTCATAAGTGAAATAAATCAGACCTGCAAGTGTAAATACCGTATTGTCTCCCTATTATAAGAACCTGAAGGGGCTGGGGATTTAGCTCAGCGGCAAAAGCGCCTGCCTGGCAAGCGCAAGGTCGTGAGTTTGGTTCCCGGTACCGGAGAAAAACCAAAAAAAAAAGAACCTGAAAGCCTAAATAAAATCTGAAAGGTACAATCGATACTGTGAAAGGGAAAGAAACTGCTCAATATGAAAGAACAACTGGGATGTGAGAAAGGAGAAAAGAAGGGAAAAATATGTATACATATACACAAGATAGCTAAGATAATTGTACTACTAATTTCTATTGGTTTATTGAAAGGAACAGTTAATGTTTAATTGTTTGATCAATCTTGCATTGCTAGATCTGGTATTCTGAGCAACTACTTTGAAGATAACAGTAAGTAATACAACGACCACTGCTGATTTCTATCATCTAGTTTTGAAATTCTGTATCAATTTTATAGTTATTGTGTTGTTTTGTTTTTGTCTTTGCTTTTGTTATTGTTCTTTTCTCTTTGAAATTAAAAAAAAGCTTTTGAAAAAGTTTAACACCCATTCATGATTTAAAAAAATCCCTACAGAAAATTGGGATAGAAGGTTTTTCTCTCATCTGATAAAATCCATTTATGGCAAACCAACAGTGTTGCAACATCATATTAAATGGTCAAAAACTGAAGGCTTTCACTCTAAAACAAGACAAGGATGCCCACTATCACCAATCCTGTTCAATACAGTTCTGGAAACACAAGCCAGAGCAATTAGATAAGAGAAAGAAAAGAAATAAGGATAGGAAGGGAAGATGTTAAATTATTATTTGCTGATAACATAATGCTCTGCATAGAAGACCCCCAAAATTCTGTCAAAAGACTCCCATAATAACCAAATTCAGCAATATAGCATGATACAAAGTCAACCCCCAAAAATCAATAGCATTCCTATATACCAATAACAACTCACCAAGAGAGAAATTATGCCTTTCACAATATAAAAAAAAGTATTTAAGAATAAACCTAACAAAGAAAGTGAAAGACCTATACATTAAAAACTACAGTACTCTGAAAAAGGAGATTGAAGAGGATAACAGAAAATGAAGATATCCCGTTCCTAGATTAGCAGATCCAAAATAGTGAAAATGACCATATTTCCAAAATTGTTACACAGTTTTGATGCAATCCCAATCATAATACTGACAGTATACTTCACAGAACTAGAGAAAACAATTCTAAAGTTCACATGGAACCAGAAGAGATCTAGAAGAGTAAAACTAACTCTGAGCAACAAAGGCAAAGTGGTGGCATCACAATTCCCAACTTGAAGTTATACTACAAAAAAAAAAGAAGTTACACTACAAACCTACTGTGATAAAAACAGTACAGCACTGGCAAAAAACAAAAGAAACAAAACAGACCTGAGGATCAGCAGAACAGAATAGAAGATGTAGACACAATTCCAAATGCACTTAGCTACCCTCTTTGACAAAAGGCCCAAACATCTTCACTGGAAGAAAGATAGCCTCTTTAATAAATGGTGCTGGAAAACTGGCTTTCCACATGCCAAAAACTGAACCTAGACCTATTATCTCTGACCATGCACTAAAGTAACATCGAAATGAATCAAAGATCTAAATATAAAAACAGAAACATTTAATCTGCTGGAAGATAGAATAGGTAAAACTCTTTAAGATATTGGTATAGGCAAAGACTTTATGAACAAAACCCTGACAGAATTAACAACTAGGGTCACATCAAATTAAAAAGCTTTTGCACAGCAAAAGAAACCACCCACAGAATGAAGAGACAACTCACAGAATGGAAAACATAATTTTATCAGCTACACCTCGGTCAAAGGACTAACATTTAGAATATATAAAGAACATTAAAAAATAAAGACCTAATCCAAAAATGGGCATCTAAAATGAACAGACATTTCTCTGATGAAGACGTACACAAAGCAAAAAAATATATGAAACAATGCTCAACATCACTGGTCATTCGAGAAATGCCAATTAAAGTAACACTGAGATTTCATCTCTCTCCAGAAATAATGGCTATCATTAAGAAATCAACCAACAACAAATGCTGATGAGGTTGTGGAGAAAAAGGAATGCTTCTCCATTGCTGGTGGAAGTATAAACTGGTGCAATCAGTATGGAAATCAATATGGAGATCCCTCAAAAAAACTAAAAGTAAAGGATCCATTTGACCCAGCTGTTTCCCTTTTAGGTATGATACCGAAAGAGTTAAAAACATCATACCACAGTGACACATAAATACCTAGGTTTATAACAGCACAATTTATAGTAGCTAAATCTTGGAAATAGCCCAGATGCCTGTCAAAAGATAAATAGATAAAGAAAATGGGCTATTTCTATATAACATAGTGCTACTCTGCCTAAAAAGAGATAAACTTGAATCATTTTCAGCTAAATGGATGCATCTCAAGATCATAATCTTAAGTGAAATAAATCAGACACAGAGATTTAAATATTGTATTGTTTCTCTTGTGTGAGAAAACCAAAGGGTAAATAAGGAGCAAAATGGAGGACAGACACTGGGAAGTATGAAGAACATGTTCAAATGGGAAGGGGAACACAGGAGGGCGGGAGGGAAGGGAAGAGAAAAGGAAAAAAAAGATGATGGAAGGGAGAAATGGAGACAAAGATTTTGTAAATGAGGGGAAGAAGGGTTGAAGGGAAGGGAGGAGAATAGGGGAAAAAATTATTGATATATATTATATACAAGTACAAATTTCCTATGATGAATGTGATCAATATGTATGACAAACATGTACTAATAAACAAAAAATTCAGATACTATTATTCCTTATACCAAAAGATGAGAAACTTGAGTCTTAGAACATGTCTAGTAACACAAACTTGCTATAAAATGGCAATATCTGTTGAAAAGTCTGAATCTGAAACTCATGTTGATCCAACTTAACACTGTTCAGAGAATAAAAACAAAATAACACTGTCTGTACTACACGTTAGATTCAGTAGCAATTATCATCTGCTGTATATAGAGCTCTATTCTTACAGCAGTGAATAAATACAGAGAAAAGAAAAATCTATTCACTTGCAGGAAATTATTACACTGTACAACGTTACATCACTTCTAAGGTTAACAAAAACCATCTCAAAGGTCGGAGGTGGTGGGGCATGCCTTAGTCCCAGCTCCCCAGGAGGCTGACAGAGAAGGATTACACGAGCACAGGAGTTAGAGACCAGCCTGGGCAATACAGCAAGATCCCAAACCAAACAAAAGAAAAAGACTTTCAAATAATAATTTATTTTTATTTTTATTTTTTATTTTTTGGAACCAGCAATCAAACTCAGGACGTCACGCTTGCCCGGCAGGCGCTGTGCCACTCAGCTATATCCCCAACGCAATACTTCTTTAATATTTCTATGTAATTCAATACTTGACATTTTCTAATAATGCAGGCAAATGTAATTCAGTTAGACTCTCCCCATACCA